GGCAGTCTATTAGCATAGGCCTTGCAGGGCCTTACAGGGTGCAACACGCCAAGACATATAGGACACCGTGGCAAGTGACCCAGTCTGGCCTGACCAGGACCCAGGCATGTGAAAAAGAACGCTCAATCCTGCCGACATGGGTACTGCTTCTTTCCCAGAGCACAAGCCCATACCAAAGAGTAGCCCCACATTGGTTCAGAATAAGATGGAGTCCACACCAAGCTCCTTAAAAAGGTATCCACCTTTAGTGAAGAACAATATGTGTACAGACAGCTACACAGGGTAGTGGTGGCACACACTTGAAAAAAATTACAAGAGTGCTTAAGGAGAGAAGTTTACTTTGCTGCCCAGGCTGCAGACTCTTGTGGTGACCTGGGGAACAACTCTAGGTCACTCCCCTACAGTCACCTCTAAAATCTGTATTTCTCTAGCCTACCCAAATTGTTTTGCCTACAGCAACCAATAGGATGGTGGCTTTCATCATAGTAAGAGAGCAACAATATCCTTCCTAAAGCTGCCCACACACCTTACAATTTATCTGCAGATTTTCTGTGGTCAGATGGAAAAAGTGCAACAGATTGGCCCAGGTGGAGATTACTCCATCCACACAGTTAAGTGTAGATGGAGGAATCTGTTGCACCTTTTCCATCTGACCACAGAAAATCTGCAGATAAATTGTAAGGTGTGTGGGCAGCTTAAAACACTAAAGGTTGTTATGGTACAATTCTACACTATATAGGCAGGCAGAGCTCTGGCCCTTCCTTATTGAATCATCCCTGTCACTTACTGCCTCCTGCATATTCCTATTGACCAGTGAGACTGCCCATCATAGCTTGGAGGCAGAGCTTAGCAGCATGGATGATGTCAGAGCTTTGCTTGTCAAATCTAGCTGAGGTTTGCTCATGTTCTTAAGGCTTGTAAAGTACATATAGGTACCTGCACTATATACATGCAGCAGTTTTTTTTAGATGACAGATTCTCTTTGAATAAGAACATGTTTACATAAACAAATACACAGAACACGGAGTACAAACACTGGGCATACAAAGAGTAAGGAAGGTTAATGTTATACGACACTCTTTAGGATCTTTGAATTTCTCATATTTTCTACCCTCTAAAATGCTGTAAACCATTAACTTAAAAAACACTATTGTATTACATTGTGCATACATTAATATAAACAGATTATTGCATTTTCATGATCTTTTCAAGAGCACATTTAACTGCTACACATAAAAATCATATTTAGGCGATCTGTTGTGAAGAGACAAACTAATGTGTCTCTGTTTATTCTTCTGAATTATATTTATTAGGTATGAATATTAAACAGCTGGCAAGATACCATTGTATACAAATAAGACGTTTGGGACCTGGAAAGCTGCCATACAGAACAAAGGCAGCTGCTGGTGTTTTCAGCTTTATTCATCTCGGCATTGCTAAGTTTTAAATACTTTCCAGAATTTTAAATATAGCACAATTATCTGAAAGCCACAGACATTTTTCAGCTTGCGTCTTTTACCTACTGAAAAGGGTCTACTATAACAATGAAGGGGTGATTTACTAGAGGAGTTGTTTCTACGCTGGATAGTTAACCTCTGTTTGTTTGAGCAACCTAAGCACCTTCAGGGTAAATAGAAACACATTTCCCTTAAACTTAAACTCCATGCAGATAAAAAAATATGCAGGTTTGTGTATTTAAGAGTATATAAAAATACTAGTAAAAGTACCTAAATTTGACTTGGTATCACCCTTGGGCATCTACATATATCTCAACCACCAAACAAAATGGCAAAGAGAGTCCAAATTGCTCATAAAATGATCATATAAAAATCTAACGTGTTTCAGGGGCCCAACATACTCCCCCTTCCTTAGGGCTTGGTAACTTTAAAACTGCTTAGTGGACACAGTAGGCCTGATAACCAGATAGATCTGTAGCATGCAGCTAAATGACAATTTATTGGAGCCGATTGTGCCAGTGTAAAAGATTACAGCAAACCGTTGAGTTTTGCATAGTTGTATATTGGTTCTTCTACAACATAGGCACTGCTTCCTGATAAGTCAAGCCTGCAGTACATGGAGCACAGGCACCTAGCTGCCATGTTTGCATGCAGCAAAATTAAAGGGATGGAACATAGCTGTCTCATGAGAGTGGAAACACTATTTACATGTTTTATTATACTTTAAATATCAACAAATACACTTATAATGATAAAAATCATTCTTTTTCATTTGTTGGTATTTTGAAAGTGGAGATCTAGAACTAACCTGAAAGTAGGACAAATAAAACATGTTTAAAACCAGTCACAGCAGAGTTTTATTACCTGAAGACATTTTTGTTGTAAAAGAATTCTACTGTAATAAAACACATGCTAGTTAGTGAAGGCACTCCCTTACTGTATATGGAAAATGACACAGTAATCCGATCATCTTTGCATTTAATTGTGGGCATTCCGCAGTAAATCCATCTACTTTTGCCATGAAGTTATACTTAGAATTGGTTGTGTATATGAAATTCTATAGTCTGCATGTACTCTACATAGAAATCACAATACAACTGTAACTAATAAGGAAAAATAATGCATACTTACAGCTAAAGTTACAAGAAAAACTTTAGCCATGCCACCAATTTTTTTTGACCGTGCCATGTATATCAGTTTCAGGACTAAATAGACTAAGCTAGTTCACATGGGCTTTTGGGCTGAAAACCACATACACTTCCCATCAACATTAGTCCATGAGCTCACTGGGGTCTGGTGCCGTGGTCCCAGAAGCCATATTGTATTCTTTTGACAAGGTCAAACTAAATGATTAATCATGGCAACCAAAAAGAATTGTTGGTCTCAGTGGGACTTTGTATTCTGATAATATAAAATAGAACGCATTCCATCACAGGAAAAATATAGCTGAAAGTTATTTGAAATTATATTTTCTATGTTTCCTACTGCATTATTAAACTAAATTGTAGACCCTATAGGAGTTATTTGATATGTACATCATCCATGTATGCTGATGGCATATAATAATAATAATAATAATAATAATAATAATAGGACACAACATGACTTTGTTTTTTCAGTGTTGCTAAAACATTCTCTACTGTCTGATTTGCATAGAGTTCTGGTGTCACGCGTGATGGATGGGACAGATAACAAGTCAGATATATGAGCTGTGCTTCATGGCAAGGCATATTTATCATGTGTTTTGTTGCTGTTTCTGTTATGATAGATTACAATAAAATGACTGAAAGAAATAATTACACGCTGTGCTTTCAAATATCATCCATTGGGCCATGGCATGAGTGTTCTCATGCCCTTATTGGCTTTAGCTGACTAACTAACTCTTGTGCACTCATTTAAGTCACTTATTGTTCTTCTTAAAAGTTTCTGAAATGTTTTGTCAGACTGTCTGAGAAATTCAGAACTTGACACAATCTTCTAAAGCTGAACTTTCACTTTTGACCCATTAATTAATTCAAGAGGCAGGATTTACATAATACTTTTTAGATGTAAAAAAGAACAGAAAGACAGGTCATACTGTACCTTTCCTATGCTTACCTTTCAAGATTCTGTTTGCTGCCAATTCTTTAAGGTTCATATATTAGCAGTGTCATCTATATACTTTGATGGATTGGACACAGGCATAGAGCATAAAACAGTCTTTTAATAATAGCATGATTGAACAGATATCACATCCGCCAATGCCTGCTCAACCAATCAATGTCTCTGTTGCACTTAGCTGTGACTCCTTTGACTTCAGGGATTCTGCTTTAAGAGATAATTACATGTTTTTGGGGTTGAACATCCATTTTACTCAATAGTAGTAGCAACGGGAACCAAATGAATTGAGGTCAGTCTTTGACTTCAGGTCCATTTTAAAGCCACTATAGCACATGAGAGATAGTGATTTATACAAAGTAGCTAATCTCACATGTTTCTGTTTCAAATATAGCAAAAAGAGGAACTGGTAAACTGTTTTAGTTTATATCTTACGCAGGAAATTCTCTTTGTTGTATACTTTTTACATGATATCTACCATAAAGAACCAGAGCATAATTTGGGCAAATATTATATTTTACTTCTTTGTTTATATACATATTAATATAATTGAGATATATTAATATTATCAGTAGGCTTTATTACTCTAAGATATTAATGCATCACCCTTTTAAGGTATGTTTAAAGCCAAAATGCTTTTTTTTAACTTCCTGTCCTGTAGACATGACAGAAAAGTGAAAGGAAATCTCTCCAAAGTGAGGTAAATCCCCACTGGAATATCTGTAAAAAATAATTCAAGGCAACTGGACTTGCTGTATTTTTCTTGAAGACGTTTCACTGGTCATCCAACCAGCTTTCTCAATCCAGAATGACGTGTACAAAAATTATCTGATGGACCAGTGAAACGTCGTCAAGAAAAATACAGCAAGTCCAGTTGCCTTGACTTATTTTTTACAGATATACCATGACCTGGATGAATGAGAACCTTCACAGACATACCCCACTTGAATAGTTGTCACTGGAACAATGCACCCATTGGAATATTTCAATTCTACTCCGGTTTCAAATTATAGATTCACTCTCCTTGAAAAAGAGAGCATAAATCTCCCTAGCCAGTACACAGACAGCAATAAAAAAGGGGGTTTTAACCCTTCTCCACTCTATCAAAAACAACTAGAAAAAAAAGTTTGGCTTTAGATACATTTTAAATTCTATATTTTGTTAGAATTTTCACATTCACGTTAGTCTTATTTCAAAAAGGAAAACAATAAAAAGTAAGAGCCTTTTTTCCTGTTCTGAGTTCTCCTGTTTGTAACTTGGCCCCTGTTATTCAAATGTGTTAAAACATGCCTCTGTATTAAAGGTTACTTAATCCAATTTGTTTACCTGTCAGACTTCAATCAAACACCATTGTGCCTTTAAACCTCATATATGTCAGTATTTTTCATTTACTTTATACTTTCATTTTTTTATACATTCATGTGTTCGATCTGTTTTTTCTTTCAGTGGGAAGAAATTAGTGGAGTGGATGAGCACTACACTCCCATAAGAACCTACCAAGTCTGCAATGTTATGGACCTCAATCAAAATAACTGGCTTAGGACAAACTGGATTCCCCGACATGCAGCTCAAAAAATCTATGTTGAGCTAAAATTCACCTTACGAGACTGCAACAGCATCCCACTTGTACTGGGGACATGTAAAGAAACATTTAACCTTTACTACTTGGAGTTGGATGAGGACCATGGGGTCAAGTTTAGGGAGCATCAGTTTACAAAGATTGACACAATCGCAGCTGATGAAAGCTTCACACAGATGGACCTGGGAGATCGAATTCTGAAATTAAACACTGAGATTCGGGAAGTGGGGCCCATCAGTAAAAAAGGACTTTATCTGGCTTTTCAGGATGTCGGTGCCTGTGTTGCCTTAGTATCTGTGAGGGTATATTACAAAAAGTGTCCTTTCACTGTGAAGAACTTAGCCATGTTCCCCGACACTGTACCTATGGACTCACATTCTCTGGTGGAGGTGAGAGGTTCCTGTGTCAACCATTCCAAAGAAGAAGATGCACCCAAAATGTATTGCAGCACTGAGGGAGAATGGTTGGTGCCCATTGGGAAATGTCTGTGCAATCCTGGTTTTGAGGAGCGAGGGTTCACTTGTCAAGGTAATAATCAGTCACTTTGTAGTTATAAGGCAACATATGATAGTTGACTTTTCTTCAGCCTAAATTAATTTAAAATACTGTAACTAGTCTTTGCATGCACCCACACTTTTTATGTTTAAAAATAATGTAATAACAAGCTCCTATTAGACCCAATAAAGAACTTGGGTGTTTAGCCAGTGCAAAATCTATGGTTGAAGTCAGCCCAAGGTTTCTTATGCTATTCCTAATTTTAGAGAGGCGAATGGTGTCCTTTACTATTTTACTGCACTACATACACAGCAAACCAAAATTGCGGTATGTATTATTTTTAATGGCACACAGATGTAATGCTGTTACATAGATGATATGGGCTTAATAAATGTTATTTCCTCATGTGTTCCTAATGCATGCACAGTACTTGCACAGTGATGTAGAGGGGCCTGAATAAGTCTGTCAACCAAAAAGGGCAATCAGTCTTAGTGGCAAAGGAGACTAAATGTACAAATGTACAGTATTTTAATGTGAAATGAGTATAATGTTTTACAGAACAAGTTGACCAAAAATGTTCACATACGTTTTGAGTACTCCCCAAGCAAAATGTACTTTAAGGTCCACCAGCTTGAAGCTCCTCCATTATTTAATCTTCTTGTTGCTCACTAGGGAAAATGCCACACTGATTATCCTAATGACTCTTCACCCAAAGCTAAATAAGACTGATCCTAATTATAAAAGTTCCTTTATTACTATGGTTCTTTTTTGCCTTATTTATATCTGAAATGTATTGCAAAAAAAAAGATTGAGGGTCAGTTTAAAATTATGTTTTGGTACGTTTATAGCATATTTAGAGTGCTTGGAAGGTTGTTCTGAAAAAAAAGCATCTTGATGGTCTTTATAAATTATGGATATTTATATATTTTTTATTCTTCTCTTCTAGTATACTCTGTATCTTCTTCACCTTTCTTGACCTCCTCAGTGTATCTATATAAAGTGTTGAATATCTATATTATTATGTCACTTTGTGTCAAGATCCTGATATCCTCACATAGACATATTTGAAGTATACTGTATCTTCAGTAGTTTATACTATTTATTATTTTATTATTTTTAATATTCATGTTTGTACTTTTAGGTGTTTTCTAGATATATTTGAAATCAGTTGTGGATGAGAAAGTAATTAACTTGACTAATGTGTGGTGTCGGCAATGTGTGTTTTGAGTGCTTCATTTAAAGCTTATCTAAACCCAAGAACTATTTCAGTTTATGTGTGGTAATGTGGTGACTGCATTGGTTTAAATTTCTCAGCCTTTTTCTTTTATTTTCACTTAGTAATTCTGCCAAAAATACACATCCTAGATGCACAGTACATTATCTATGGAGCAGCATTCTCACCATAGAATAAGTGTGTTATGACCACAAAACACCTCTCTACTCTCCACCTCCATACTCTAGGAATAAGTGTTCTGTAGTTCACAGAGGTAAATTGGGCAGGGCTGATAACACTGCTTCCAATAACACTTAAGGGTTTACAGGACAGCAATTGATTTATGGAAGGATTTGTAGGTATTCTTGCTCAAATCAAATAGATGTAAAAAAAACTCTTGCAATCATATACTTAGAAGACCAAAAGGGAGCATATAAGAGATGTTCACTGTTAGGGTTTCCATATACTTTTCATTAACCATTTTTGTACATACCTACCAAGCTGTCCAGGAACAGTCCTGTTTATGAATGAATGTGTTTTAGAAATGGATTTGTCTTTCACATTCGGTGACCTTAGCTGGTGCTTTGGCAAGATTCACATAAGTTTAATTTGTACATTTTATAAAATTGGGTGCTATGACTTTTGATACTTCACTTTTTATACTAGTATTGCATGACTGTACTCTATAAATGCAAACAGGAAAATTAAAATGTTAGCCATTTCACCTGCTAAATAATTTGTAATTCTGTCCAGCTAGTCTTGGATCATAACATTTGGCCAAACTACATACTCAAGAAAATGACTCATCTACTTCCAGGTTCAGTTTTACAGATTCCAGTGTCATCTTCCTGCTTAGTAGCAAGTAGGAATAATGCAATGCTGATTCCTTGTCCAGCGGGTAGGCTGGAGATATAGATGTGACACTGGAAGCTGCAAAGGGGAAAATGGGTGTGTTGCTTACCTGTACA